GAGCAAGACCCCCCGATCCCAAGAGTGCCTGTAACAATACACAGCCCACACCAACTACTACTACTGCTACTGCTACTACTCCCTAGCACCACGCCCCCGCCATGGCTCTCGACGCTTCCTCGGTGCGCTCCACCGAGTATCTCGACGCCAAAATCCCAGGTGCCTTCCCCGATGGCCGCGCCCTGAGTCTTGCCTCCGTCACCACCCACCAGGCCTCACTGTCGCAAATCCTCTATGACCGCCGCGCCGAGTACACGCGACCCCGCAGTGTGCGCATCAAAGTCGGTACCTGGAACACTGGCGCGCAAAAGGGCACCGAGCAGGATGTGGGCGCCTGGTTTGTGCGGGCCAAGGGCGTCGAGGAAAAGATGGCCGGACTGGGAGTATCGGCCGAGGACAGACAAGACGATAGCAGAGAAAGTGTGCAAGCGCAGGAGGCAAGATACTCGAAACAGGTTCCAACCATACCCCACCATGATTCCAGCGCATTGCCAGCCGACCATGACATCGATCTTTACGTACTGGGCCTGCAAGAAATCGTCGACATCACTTCAGCCGCCGAGGCCCTACGCCCTTATACCGATCCCTCGGTAGCGAACAAGTGGAAGACTTCCATCGAAGCCTGTCTGCCCGCGGGATACCAGCTGGTTGCCGAACAGCAGCTCATCGGCCTGTACTTGGTCATATACGCCTCGCCAGAGCTGGCGGGCCAGATCAAGAACGTCAGTACCACTAGTGTTGGAACTGGCCTCATGGGCTACATGGGAAATAAGGGTGCGGTGACGGCGCGAATTGTGTTGGGAGAGACGACTCGCCTTGTATTTGTCAACTCCCATCTTGCAGCCGGCGCGGACAAGGCCTCGCTAGACCGGAGAAACTGGGACGCTGCTCAGATTAATACCAGAACGAAATTCGACCCGATCGTGGACGCTCTGGGCACCTCCCATACACAGCCTGAAGGACTCGGCGAAGAGGACTTTGCATTCTGGTTTGGAGATCTCAACTATCGCCTACAAGATATGGCAGGTGATGACGTGCGACGACTGCTCACGGTACATACCATGGATATGGATGATGACAACGAAGGCCGACCGTCTACCTCTGTCGACTCTGGATATGCTTCCCAGCAGTCATCTGAGACAGCGCATGATGCTATGCCAGTACCGGACGAATTAGATCCTGCTTCACTGCAGACCACCATTTCGTCTCTGTTGCCACATGATGAGCTGCATCAGCAAATGAAGACTGGCAAGGCATTTCACGATGGTTGGGCCGAGGGTCCAGTGCGCTTTCTGCCTTCGTACAAGTACGACATTGGCAAAGTTGGCGTGTTTGATTCGAGTGAGAAGCGACGTTGCCCGAGTTGGTGCGACCGCATTCTCTATAGGACACGTGCAGCAAAGCATCGGTACGAAGATCAAGTCAAGGAAAAAGAGGAAGCCCGTCAAAAGGATGAGGAGATGAAGGCCAAGGGGTTGGATGATCCTGGAGACGACGATGTCTTGTACGACTACGATCCAGACACAGACGGTGACAACTACGACGATTATGATGAAGGCGAAGACCCAGTACCTGAACCCATCACAACCAAAGATGATCTTTCCGCCGAAATACTACTCGAATACTACACCACTCATATGCGCGTATTAAGCTCAGATCATAAGCCTCTGGATGCCGTCTTTTCTCTGCAGTACGATGCTGTTGTGCCCGAGTTGAAAGCCGCCATACATGGCGAAGTGGCCCGTGAACTCGATCGACAGGAGAATGAAGGGCGGCCATCGATTGCCGTCGTTGTCGAGCGGGCTACGGGCGCCACATCGTCAGAAGAGAATGACAAGACGGACAGCTCATTCGAGGGCGTAGATTTTGGCCATGTCAAGTTCGCCAAGTCAAAAAGGCGCAATCTCACCATCGCGAACACCGGGCGTGTGCCTGCTACCTTTGGATTTGCAGATAGGCCAGTAGACAAAGATCAACCGGCAGGTCCCTTTCCACCCTGGCTCAGCGCCACCTTCGACAGAGAGCCAGACAAGCTTGACAAGCCTCAGCCTGGCGATATACACCAACACTTTACCCTCGCCCCAGCCAATGTCCTTAATGTGGAACTGAAGCTGAAAATCGAAAATGTAACCGCGGTACGCGACCTCAACGAAGGTGAAACCGTTCTCGACGAAGTCCTCGTCATCCGTGTCGAAAATGGCCGCGATCACTTCCTACCTGTGCGTGCGCAATGGCTGCCCTCGGTATTAGCTCGCTCCATCGACAAGTTGATCAAGATCCCCGAAGGTGGCATCAGGAAGCTGCAGAACCAGACTCCGGCTCGGGGCGAGGTAAAATGGAGCGTTCCGCGCGAAATGTTCCGACTGACGGAAGCCATAGAAGACCTGATCGAACGTACGTTGGCTGAATGGGAAATGACCAAGGGAGAAGGTGAGAAGGCGCCGTGGCAAGATAATGCAGGATGGCCATTCGTTCTAGCTTCCAGAGGTGAAGCGAAGAGATGGGCACATGAGGACGAGTTGGCAGACGTGTACAATGCACTCGACTGCGATACTCCATTTGCCGACGCCTTTGAGCCCGAGACCCGGGCTAAAGAAAAAGTGGAGGTGTTGGCGGAAGTCCTTCTAACCTTTCTAGCCAGTCTGACAGACGGCGTAATAACACGCAGTCTCTGGGAGAGAATTGAAGAGGCTCTCATTATGCGCGAAAAGAGCAAGCAATTCACCTCTCCGGACGACGATAAGATGGCCATATTGGAAATCCTGGCTTCTGCACCCAATCACAATGCTTCGTTCCTGCTCATCTTGTCCTTTTTGCAGAACATTGCCAATCAGATTACAGAGCAGTCGAAGCCCAAGCCAGATGATGGTGCACGAAATAGTGTCGATCTGCCTGCATCACCACAAGCAAAAGTTCGGAGGCGGACTTTGAGCAAGGTCCCAGAAGTCGCGATTCGACAAGTGATTGTGAAGAACTATGCATATGTGTTTGCAGGTGTCTTGTTCAAGCCAAAGGAAGACGGAAGGATGAGGGAGAAAGAAAAAGCACTGAGGAAAGAGAGAATGGTTGGCACCATTGAGCTGTTTCTGAATGTTGCAGTTTGAGAATGTGTGGATTCGAAGAACCGCGTTTGGCAGCTTTCCTTCATGTTGGAAGGGCAGGCTATTTGAAATTACCAGCCAATAGATGCTCTGGGTTGCAGAGTAACTGGTGATACCCGAACATAATAGACTTCAAGATAAGGTTATATAGATGAATTGAAACATCTCCCTCAAAGCCATGACGCTGGATTTGGTATTTTCATCACTATACATAACAACATGTAACCAAGTCAAAAGCACATAAATTTGAAAACCATAGATATCTTTACTTTCACACACGCCTAAACAGGCAAAGCATTACGGTATACGAATTGCTCTTATTTATGGCTATGTTCACCGCTGCTCCTTAGCGTAAAGAAACACAACGCTACACATCCCCATCAAGCCTAGCGCGACCGAGATATCAAAACCTCACTATAAATCGCTCTTTTATTCCACCTCGTCCCTTCTCCTCTTAGCAATTTAATCTTCAATCAATTGCCATGTCACAAGCCCCCGCCACCCAAATCTACCTCCGGACACCACCCGAGCCCGGCAAAAAATCTGCAGCACGTGTCTACATCATCTACTTCGTGACAGGGAACCCAGGCCTCGTGGAATACTACCGCACCTTCCTCACCCATCTCTACGGCCTGTTGAGCCAGGACACGGCGTCGAACCGGGATGTGGAGTTTCAAGTGTACGGGCGCTCGTTGAGCGGGTTCGAGGTCAAGGCGGCGGATATGAAGACTATGAAATGGGGGAAACAGCCACCGTATGGACTGCAGGACCAGATTCGCCATGCCGAAAACCAATTGACTGAGCTTGTGGAAGAGGTCAAGGAGGAGGGGGCGAAGGATGTTCGGGTCATTCTTGTGGGGCATAGTGTGGGTGCGTATATTTCGCTCGAGGTGATTAGGCGGTTGAGAGCGCATGGGCTTGCGGGCGAGGACTTTGAGACGAGGATTGTAGGCGCGGTTGGGCTGATGCCGACGATTGTGGATATTGCGAGGAGTGAGAGTGGGATTAAAGCGGCGGTATGTTTTCATCTTTCTTTCTCTTTTTCTTTCTCCTATCCACATACACACGCCCCTGGTTTAACCAACAGACCAAACACATTCCTCCTACCATTCAACTCCACACCAACCCAACCCAACCCAAATCAAACCAAACATCAACAATCATAACTAACATGAACATCTCACCCCCTATCAGCCCTTGCTCAAAAACTCAAACTTCGCCACCCTAACCTCCCTCCTCGCCTCCCTCCTAACCCTCTTCCTCCCCCTCTCCCTCCTCACAACCCTCATCTCCAAGCTCCTCGCCTTCCCCCAAACCGCCGCCCACACCACCGCCCACTTCCTCAAATCCCCACACGGCATCCACCAAGCCCTGCACATGGCCCGCGACGAAATGTTCCAAATCGACACGGACATTTGGGACGAGGAGATTTGGGGCGCTGGTGCCGGTGCGCCGCGGTCCAAGCATCCGCATCCGCGGCCCGTGCTGCGGTTTTTGTTTGCGAAGCGCGATCATTGGGTTGCGGATGCGACGAGGGATGCGCTGATTAGTGGGAGGGGTAGGGTTGAGGGCGGGGTTTATCCGAATGGGGTGGAGGAGTGGAGGCCGCTGATGGAGGTGGATGAGAGGGAGGGGTGGCCGCATGGGTTTTGTATCAGGCATGGGGTGCCGGTTGCGGAGAAGGTGGTGGGTTATGTGAGGGATATTGTGGCTAGGGATGAGGGCAAGTAGGTGACGGTGGAGTCTGAGGGCGTCGAGGGACCTTTGGGAGAAGGAAGTTGGGGTGGTTCGGATGAGCATCGCATGAAAGTGTATCAGCAATGCAAACGAGATTAAAATGCCATCCACGTTTGGACATGAATTCCATTGCTTTGCAACCGCCATAAACTACGCAAAACAACTCTATCATACAACACCCCAACCCTCCCCTTACTCATCCCCCCTCAAAAACTCCACCACCGCATCCACAAACTCCTTGGGCCTCTCACTAATCACCCAATGCCCACAATCGACATCCACAAGTTCGAACCTCGGAAAGAACCGACCGATGATAGGCAACACCTCATCACTCACATAGCGACTCTTCGTCCCGCGAATAAACAGCGCCCGCTTATCAAACCGACGCTCCTCTGGATTCGTAAATGGAAAATCCGCCATGTCGTCCAGCGCGCGGGTCAAGATGTGAATCGGAATGCGAAACCGGAGCGGCTGTCCAGGCTCGTCGCGCACGAGGTTCGTCAGCAAGAACTGGCGGACGGCCAGATCGGGGGCGTACGGCTGCAAGACGGCATCCGCGTCCTTCATGCTCATGGGCTTTGCGGCCTCGACTTTGCGCATGCCCTCTGCGTACTTTGGAAAGTCGCTGCTGAGGGCTGCATCGACGGGAGCGTTGTCGACGGGGATGATGTTGGCGCAGCAGTCTGGGTTGCGGAGGGCCATGGCCATGACGATTTTGGCGCCCATGGAGTGGCCGATGAGGGTGCTGTTGGTGAGGTTGTGGGTGGAGAGGAAGGCTTCGACGTCGGTTGCCATGGCGGTGTAGTTGTGGGTTTTGTCATGGGGGGAGTCGCCATGGTTGCGGGCGTCGAGGGCGTAGACGGGGCGGGAGAGGGTGCGGGCGAAGATGCTGGTGGGAGGGTGAAGGGTTAGGTTTCTGTATGGTAATCAAGGGGGGAAGAGGGAGATGCGCACTTTGCGACGCTCTGGTTGTTTCTTTTACTGCCAAACAGGCCATGAATCATGACTATAGGGTCTCCTTTTGCCTTGCCATTGTCATCGTGGAGTCGGTATGCGAGGTCTACGGCACGCAGCGTTGCCGAGGCGTGAAGTGAACGCGTCCATTGTGGTGATGGTGGTGACGGCGGTAGTGAAAAGGGTGAGCTGCAGCGCTGTATGTGCGTAGGATGTTTTGGACGGATCAAGGGCGTGTGGAGGAGCTTCAGAGTAGGTTGTATGGATCTCCGCATGGTGGAGAGCTGTGTAGATTCCCTCCCCCGTTCCGAAGCCCGTCGGAACTTTTTTTTCTCGCATTGCCAAGGCCCACGTCATCTTCCGTGGACCGCTTCCGTGGACGCTTGCAAGTACATAGTATAGCCATACATACAATGTCATAGTCATACATAGTCAGAGCCAAGTCGTTGATGGTGGACGATTGGTCGGATGGTGGCTTGTGTTTCGAAAGAGAGTTGCAGATTATATATTTGGCTGCAGGCGGGGAAGATGGCCTCCGCATTGGGCCTTTGCCATATTCATGGAGCAACTGCAATTCTATGCTCCTGGGGTACCGTACAAGGGCAATGTTTCTGCCAAATCGTTCTACATTCGAGAGCAGCGTCTTGGCCTTTCAAACAAACAACTGATGTCAGCAATCATATCCATCATCAGATACGTCTCTCCAAATCTTACCCATCCAGGCCCTTGTACCATCTCACATAAGTCTCACCTGCATCGGTTCCTTACTCTACTCTCGCGTGCGATAAGACAACCACCTAACGATTAGAGTACTTGTCATTGCTTTGACCAAGTGTGTACCGTATATGCACCATGTGGGGGAAACAGGTGCCCAGCATGCATGCTCGGTCGTGCATCTTGCCGCCCTCCCGCCTTGCCAGGACCCCCGCGACAAGCCGATGCCGCGCCATGGGTGATGGGAACCTAATCGAATTCCTGACTTGTGCATCAGACTTGCTGCACTGTCAATCTAATGGTGTGGGCGAGGTGCCGAAAGCACTCGAGTTACGGTCATGGGTTTCCTCAACACCAGCAGAGGGCGCTTAGAACGTAGTGTTTTGTGGAAGGTATGTTGCTTTGTGGGCATGGAATTCCTTTCTGAGAAGCATAGCTTGATGCTAGCATGCATGTGCGCATGTCGTTTGCTGTTTGCTGTCCTTGGTCGGAGTACGTGCGTACTGCTGGCCTGCAAAATGCAGACCCGTGAAATGACGGAGCTCCTTGACGCCTTCCCACCCTTTAGATAAAACGACTCAACTAAAAACTCCAGACACAGCCCTTGTTTCTCCGCTTGATGGAAACATGAACAAATACAGTCACTGGCGATGCAGCTTATTTGCCCTCCCCTGACGCCTTGCACACCTTCTCCGTAGCCTCCTTCAACAACGCACGATCTTGATCACTCATATGATCGACCTTTTCAACCAATAACTTCTTCAGAAACTGATTTTCCTTCCTCAGCGTGTCGTTTTCTGCCTCCAACCGTCTGGACTTCTCTTGCATTTCACGCGTTGCTTCCATCAACTGCTGTTCGCGTTGCTTTTTCTTCTGACGAAAGCGGGCGGATGCAGCCTGGTTGCGCTTACGCTTCTCTTCTTCGGCCTCGACAATGATGGGGTCCGTCATGAGTGCTGCATGAGCTGGGTCGGGAGAGGCAGCCGAAGAAGCAGATGTCGCAGTGCTGTCGGGGTACGGCGTACGGTAGGCGTTGAGGTTGTAGGAGGGACTCATAGGAGAGAAACCCTGGAGGTCCTCGAGGCCTACTTGGATCGGTAGTCCATCGTCGTAATGTTGAGATGGATGCCCCGCCGTGGGCATGCTGTATTGATGTCCTGAGAGATGATGTCAGTACCCATTTCGATGTACAAGAAAAAGCGACAGATATTGGATAAGTAATCGCTCGATAGGGCTCGATTTTATTTACCCATACTGCCTGCTATGCAAAGGCACATCTGCAGATGGGTGAGCGCTGCTGACGCCGGGGTGCGGGTGCGAGCACGCCATCGTGGTGTCCATGAACGTCATCCAACACCAGCGTCAAGCAGCAACCCAGGGAAGTGGGCATCGTGGCCACGAGTGAGAAACGACAGGATAACAAGTTCGCACAAGGATTTCGTCGGCAGCGATTGTGACCAAACATGGGAAAATGTCCAGACTGAAATCGAGTAAAGACTGAAACTTACCAGAAAGCGACATGCTGCTGCTGTGCGACGCATAAGGAGTGTGTTGGCCTTGTGGGTAACCCTCATGAGATGGCAAATGCAGCGAAAACGCATGACTACTCCGGCTGCCGTTGTTGAAGAAATCGTTGGCATCAAGTAGGTCGAATTGGTCAGGTCCAGACAAATTCCCACTTGCAGATGCGTCGATGAAGGTCGGCATTCCAAAAGCTTGCTGGCGATGTGTTTCCGACATTACTCTCCATCTGCATAAGCGCCTTCAGCGTGATCTTGCCAATTCCAATGCGTTTTTTTGGAGAATGTTTGCGAAGAGTGTAGATGGAAAGTTGACGTTCTGACTATTTGTTCGTGGAAGCTAGGAGCCGGTCTTTCTGGGATGTGGATACTGACGTTCCTGCTCTGCATGCGCGATTAGAAGCCGTCCTATTAGGAGAATCGGATCGTCCAGCAGTGTGCCTTGGTTTGTCTTTGGGTAATGCCCCCCACCTGCTCTGTCGAGAGTCTATGTCGAGTGCTGAAGTTGGCGATCCAGCGTGGTTGCGCCATGTTATCGGTCGGGGTACCGGTACCGCGTGTAAGAGTGGACCTCCACGCTTTTACCTAAATCGTAAGCGCTTGCACCTTGGATGCACCTCGACATCGACCATGGCCTATCCCAGGCAGCCTCTCTTCACATGACATGTCGATGCTTCCGCGGCTGCATGTCGTCTAAAGCCAATCAGGGCATCTTTGGAGCGTGCGTCCATGTCCACGCTGAAAGCCTGATGAGCATGGGGAAGATCCATCCTGTTCGATCTTTGGACCGTGGCAGATGACAATCTGTGAAGGGTGGTGACCATCATCTGACGCATCTTGTAGAGATGCCATCCAGGTTGTAGAGGCACGTTGCCACTAAAATCTCGGTAGTAAACGAGTAGACCCGAACTCATGCCAGGTCGATCGAGCCTGCGCTCTACCCACCTTTCCTTCGTGTCTTCTGCAATTCCGAGGCTTGTACCTGTGGGGTGTAGGGAACGGAACATGGCTGATAGGGTAATGAAGCGACATGTACAGCGCGCTTTCGCAGTGGGCATTACTTGCTTTCGAAATGCTTACTAACAAGACTGCATGCCCTGTGGGCTCTTGTACTGCTATCCTCATCGTATGTTTTAGTGTCATGCCGCTCCTGAGAATGAAACCTTTCATCGCCCAGCGAATGGCCGGGAGGCCCGATCTTGGGGTCTTGACGATCCCAAGCTTGGGTGGGCAACACACTGCGCCCATTTGCGCTGACTAGTTCGTATCTCTTCAGTTCGTCTCATCTGGTCGCGTATGGTTCGTCCACCAGAGCCTGAATTTACCTTCAACTGCCAGATGTTTCTTTGCATGAAACCCATTACGGTATATGCGCTTGATACCAAGACAGAGGGAGTCCACTCGGTCGCTTTTGGGTTCATTCTGTACGGATGAGTACATAGGTCCACCACTGCACAGCGACACGATTTCGCGAAATTGGAATTATACATTTCCAAGGCCAACAATATTCCATAGTCACATCAGATTTTCCGGTGCCGTGCGTAGATCCATGGTAATTTAATGTAGAGCGCGAAAACGATCCCTTCTATTTCGTTCCATGACGTGCTTCATGCGGGCGAAACGAATTCAATCAAAGTCAGATAGATATGAATCAAAGGACGAGAGCTCTTGAGAAAGTCGGAGAGATATCCTGTATCAGAGACTTTCAAAATCGCGCAGGCCACGGTAGGTGTTTGGATAAATGGTGAGCCTGCAGGATCCAGATATCAACGAGTAGCCTTATGCACCCTGTGCTTGTTGTGCATCTCAAGTTGTTCCCATTACTCTTAGAAATTCAGCTTCTTGTGCGAACTTGCTGTCTGCGTTGCAATCTAGCGCAATGGCGTGATAGCTCGGGCCTTTGCCGTGCACTCTAGGACGTACCAAAGTGTCAGGCGCACATCGCGAATCTGGTTCCGGTTCATTTCCCCCTGATTTGTTCGGACCAGGGCCCGTTGATGAAATGCCGTTTGCGAGTGTACTCCTGACCGTCTTGGGCTCTTTCGTCGAGGAGGCGTCATTGATTGAGCACTGTCGTGTCCTGGTCACAACAGATTATGTGACGTTCTTGAAGGCGATATGCTTGATACTAGTCATCCAATAGGAATACATGGTCGACCAGAAGGTTAGAATCCTTTGGAAACATTTATGGTAGTAGGTAGCTACTCCAGCGGTCGTAACGAAAAGTCGTTGTCAAAGGATTCGGGCGTTGCGTTCCGCGCAGGACAACATCGAGTCCAAGCAATCTCTGATACCGGTAATGGTAGAGGTCAGACATTCAGTGTGCGTGTTTGTGCGTGCAAAGTGCCAACGGTCACAGTGCGCGTGATGACATTGCGAAGGAAGATATCTTCTCGGCCTGTCGCCTCGATGTTCGTCTAATTGGCAGGGGGGGAATTAGTCGAAAGGCTCATTACGAAATTGGCGGGGGCGGTGCCGGTACCCAGGAGCGGAAACCCACTCCGAAAGAGAAAGGTGACCCCCCGAAACTCCATGACCATCATCTTCATCAAATGTCTAAGCAAGGATTTTCTCCTATCTCTCTAGCCATTCCATCAAAGTTCACGCTTAGAGAGGTGCTATCTCCCATCGAGTTCACATACAACGAAATGCCATGGTGCTGACGGGCCCTAGATTCCCAGCAGGCGTCGGCACACCTTCTATGTGTGCGTGAATCGCAAGCTAACCTCAGATCGCAAAGCATTCACTATGACCCCGTCAAATAGTGCTCCCTGACCAGCTTGTCCGCTTAGATCATCCGACGAACCGACGCACATCCAGTCGTCGACGTCTCCAGATCGGCATGCATTACAGATGTCATCCACATGTAGCGGGCCGTAGTAGCGAAGAGCTTATTTCGACTGCACTTGCGGGAAGAACCCTGCCTGGTCTCCTATGGTGTGTTATATCCAAGTCTTCCCCCTGACCAACTTTTGGCCCTGATGTGGTATCCCGAAATGTCCTGGAAGATCTAGATAGCTTCCTGAGCTGTACCTAGAAAACCTCGTAATGATACCCTCCTCAGCTTTGTCTAGTACAACAACCACAGCAATATCGTGGCATAACATACTCCGGAATACCTCATCACCTTCATTCTTCATCTGTGTTAACCCCCAGAGATCTAAACCCCATGCCTTCCAGACTCAATGACCCCACCCCTGCTTCAAAACGTGAACCCAAATCGCGCCCCGCATCCCAGCACTGGCATTCTGGCGACACCGAACGAAACACGAGCGGTGCGCCGAGACTGCTCGGCGGCAGCGGGTCGCTGTTCGGCAGGAGAGTGTAGACGGTCAAGCGCCACTGGTCCATAATCAGCATCGCAGTTTACTAAACTTGTTACCCGCGGAAGCCTTACTTCTCCATGACCTTCGTAGACGCTCTGAGCATTGTTCCACACCAGCTCGGTGCTCAGCTGCGCTGTCATACATGCAGAGGTCTGAGTTGCGGCCCCCATGGACTACCACACAGAGGTGCATCTGCTCCATGACCTAGTAGCGGTGCTAGGTGGGAATGATGGTGGTCAAGGGCGGGAGTGGGAGGTACAGAGCCGGCCAGAGGCTGGAGAATTCTCGAAAGTAGCGAGGTGGTGGTGAGGAGACAGGGAGTACGAAAATATCCTTCTAAAAGAGAGGAAAGCTGAGGGCTGTACGGTGGTGGCTGTGATCTGTGGGGAAACGCGAGGTATCGAGATCTTCCTAAGATCGCGTTGCGTAGAGCAAGCAAAACTGCGAGGGAGAGTTGACAATGGGCAACAGCGGCCAGTGCGGCATTGTTGCAATCTTTTGGTCAAGGCCGCGACAAGCTCTTTAAAGCCTTGAGAGCCAGAGGTACTCAGTACAGGTAGCTGTTGGCGTACAATGGTTCTGAGCGATACAAACATTACAAGGCTTTGCAATGTCTGCTCATCTTTGCTTTCATGGTGCAGCCCATTCGCTCGCCGGCCATGTTTTCGATACTCAGATGCCTTTGCTCTGGTGGTCATCCGCAGCCGCAACTCCAACACCAGCATACGCCAGAAACTCCGTCGCGCACTTCCCACCGCAAATCCAGAAAATTTCGATAGTTCTTCTTGCCGAAGAATTGCACGCTGCGATATAGCTTGCAGCTTTCTAGGGCGACAATACTCCCATAAATCGGCCATCGATTGTCCAAAAATATCTGCGCCAGCCCCCACAACAAAGCTCCTTCAGCCCGCGCTCACAACGAGTTATCTCCTCAGTAAAAGAAAAGTTGACCGGCTTACTGAAGTACTCTGTATCGGCCTCGAAGGCTCTTAGTACATGCTCTGTCCTAACGAGTCGCCTGGCTAAACAATTACTGTCAGTGCCAGCTCCACCGAGCGAACATGCAATACTACAGAGGCGATTGAAGGAACCTTACAAGGCGTATTGAGTATCATGGGTAGCAAGAAATGGCCAGGAACCCGCCTTTCGACACTGCTAAAGTAAGTACGGATTGTTGAAGCATGGCGCAGGTATACAAGTTGACGATGACAGCCAAACTTAAACTGTTTCAAAACCGCCTGACAACGCCGAAACGTGCCTACGAGCAAGCTTACCGATGTCCCTATTATATATACCTGGCTCAGCTCAGCCATCGCACGCCGTGCAAAGTCACTTCGAGGCATACGCAGAGACACCATGGCACTGGTACTGCCGCCAATGCAAAACGGACGCGGGATGCCTTGAATAGCGTACCGCATAAATAGGCCGGCATTTGTTCCGCGTAGCTTGTCGAAGAAAGCGATTGTTAAAGCTCCAGGATCGCCCCATATGTGGCTGTTGCGTGGGGTGCCGGGATAAAAAGATACTCTCCCCTTGCTCGTATTGTAATTAGAACACCGTCCTCCGTCCTGATAATAGGAACACTTGGGCAAATCTCTGGCTCACATGCTGCGCAGAAAGCTCCAACGGAGTAATATGCAGAAAAGAAAATTCTTGACGTGAAAATGACATACAAAAGCCTACCATTGCCCACTTATTCGCTCAAAGTGCGTGGCTACTTCTAGCTCATTTCTACGGCCTCTAGGGACTTGTTGCGTCGTAACTGGTTTTGTGGGTAATAGAGACGGCGGAGGGTACCTTTCCAGCCACCGAACTCTCCTAGGGACTTGCAAAAAGATCAAAAAGATCACCAGAACTATAGGTGATACCTTGCTCTTCTGGTCCCTAACACTATTCAATCTTTACCTTTCTTGTTCTTCCTATGTGTCTCGTGCCCCTGTAGTACGAAGTGGGTATAAAATTGCAAAAAAAGACGGACAACTTCAGAGAAGTCGGGGGCAGAGCCTCTAACACCGCGAATCGACCTGCGGGTAGTTTATTAGCGGAACTCGGCCAATGTTAACAGAAAACAGAAACGCAAGCTGCTGCTGCTGTTGCAGGGGAGTTTTGCCTAGGCCATAAGGGCGTTCGGACTTCCTTTCAGATAAGCTTACTCGGCGAAGGATTTACCAATTCTAGTCATTATATAGTGGATTGGCGTAAGATTTGGTATAATCACGAGCAAACGTGGCAGTGGCGGAGGACTGGCCGTGCGGGGTGTTGTGACGGGAGAGGCTAAACGTGAAGGCAGCTTTCGCGTGCCGTCCTGCTGCGTGTTAGCTCATACAGCCTCGTAATAGGACGCACCTAAGAGACAATCAAGAGACACTTTGTATCGATGTCAATGTCACATGTCAGCAGGGGAGGCAGAAATGGGCCGCGTGCATATACACAGCTCGCTGCGCCTTAATTATATGCTCAGCAACCTTGTATGGAGCTGAGCTCCAATAAATTTCCCTGAAAGATATGCATATCTTTTTCTTTGAGTATTTTTTCCAGTGGACGGTACTCGCCTTTGCTATGCGGAGCCTGGTGGTTGAAACGATCCGCGTACACAACGCATTATCTTCTGGCTGTCGTCGAACCGCATCATTATGGAGTCTGCGAGACGTTTCCTATATCCTATAGTTGGAGAGTGCCTATAGAGCACATATTTACGACCCCTGTGTGGTAGGGTTGATGCTTGCGCCTTCGCAATACAGGTCTTGTGTGGCGGCATCAGGGCGCTATTGCGTCCTTTGCGGATGGCCGCTGAGAACGCAGAAGTTGGATGATTCCCTGGTGTCTCTCAACCTTGACCTGATGCTCAAGTGCATCACAGCTTGGGGCTGAATGTGGCTCTGATGACTTCAGAGTAACGATGAAATCCGGCTTTTTATACGATGATATGCGTGGTGTCGATAATGGATGGTACTCATGATAAATTGCAGCCAGCACTCAATGCGACAATCTTGACAGCATATTAATCAGCCCCTTGACACTATTGTCGTGCAAAGCATGAATTTTCGACTCAGTGACTGTGCCGACTCCAGTTGTCTCAAAAATTTGCTCATGCCAACATGGCAAGTATGGCCTGGAAGGGCATCGCGTTTGGGCGTACTCTTGCTTCCAAGCAATCCAGCTGGCGTCGCATGTTATCGCAGCTCCTGTCATGCAGTGTAAAGCGCTAACATTTTGAGTCTAACTTTGACAGACTCAGGGGTGTATGGAAAGTACGGGATGCGACGATGCCTTAGTCCACACGATAAAACGGCCATCTTCCTTGATGAATCATGGCCGGCCAGCTAGGGCTGAAGATCTTCGATAAGACTATCGAATCATTGTCTCATCTCCTGAGTTGTAGTATCCTCGTTTGACGCATCGAACGCACAGAACGCAATATGCCATGGTATAGATGATGCAATACTTTGCACGCTCATGTAAATATTGTAGTGCGACGCACCATCTCTGAGTACCAAAATCGAAGATGACGAGTACTACAGTACGTGACAAGCCGCTCGTGCAAATTTCAATCTTTGACCCTTTGCAACCCCAAGATTGGAATTGCATGGACGGGTCAAAGGGGTAGACTTTATAACTTAAAGCCCTTTTCTAATAGACCCGACAAAGGGGTCTGTGGCAAACTTCATGTACGCGAACGTGGTCACTCAGGGCGACATTTGATGATGAAAGCCTCTCCGTGTCGGACGCGGACGCGTATGCCTCGTTACAAGGCTGCCATTGAACGCAAGCTGCACATACTGCTTGAGCTGAACATGCAGGGCGCATAGTACAGGACCCTTTGCCTGATTTAGGCCTAAATCCCAAATGGCCAGTGTGCAGCATCCCTCTGGGTTAGATAGTGGCAGATAATGAACGGGAGCAAAAAAAGACAAAAAGAAGGCAAAAAAAGACACACCCAAACGGGCGGAGACTGCGAGTCTCGACCGACCTGTTACTTGTTAGCCGGTCACCCCCTACCACCTGGCTGGCTGCAGCACCAGGTGGAGGGGGCGATGAAAGATTTCCCAATATATAATGATATATACTTAATACAGCTGACTTTGTCGGTATGTTCCTGTGCGCTTTCCGGTATTGCTTTGAGTTTGGGCGCGGATTATCAAGGAGGTGAGGTCACCTTCGCACAGCCGCCACAAATGGACATGTACCAATGACACAACACGTATTTACGACCTCTTGTAAGTGGCAACCCCTACAACCCTCTCACGCATGATTTTGCTGGTATTGATATTCCTCTGCACACATCTGCACGTCGGGAGTTGCGGGCACCCAAGGTATGGCATGTTTGCACTTTTCGTAGTAGGCACCTGCCTTTTCCTCACGAATATGCTGAACGCTTTATACGCAATCGCACTGAGAAAGTCGACTTATTTCGCTTAGGAGGAATGATGAGGCCATGTGTGCTCTATGGTCATCATCTGCAGCATCATCTGGTGAGCCTTGATTCGTATTCATAGCAAGCGACCAGCCGGCTGTCGGACGGAGTTCTTCTGGATGCTGAGCAGCGTGCCCTGGCGCTCTCATTTGGGCACCATTCTCAAGGTAGTGTTTCGGGATCATGCTGCCACGGCTACCCATGGTTTCCTCGGCCATGTTGTGAATCAGTGCCGGGTGCCACTCACGCTTGATAGCGTAGAGAATTCACTACCGTCGGTAATGTTCCGACATGTGGCATTCCCATGCAAGCTAAATGTGGCCCAGAACATATGGCTGCTCCCAAACATGGTCTGCTTGTTGCTGCCAGCTCAAGGTGGAGCACGGCCTTTGACGACAAACCTCCCGCTCCAGCTCCAACTCCAGCTCCAGCTCAGCCAGCAACCACAACTTGCACACTCGCTG